CCTCCCTCCTCCCTCCTCCCTGGGGCCAGATGGGACTACTCGGGGGGGGCCTATTGAGGCCAGCTGGGGCTACATATGGGGCTGTCTGTGCGCAACCCGAAGACTTACAAGAGCCGTGCGGATGAGTCTGGCCAGCGCTTGGAAACCTGAGGCGGCACGTGGGAACCGGATAAGGCAGGAGTCTGAATCGATCTTGAGCGTGGAGCACCCGTGCCCGAAGCGTCCAGAAGCCACGTTATTCAGCCGTATCTTCCGATCGGCGCGTATTCCGTCGCGATTGCGATCGTTCTGTGCTATCAACGCTGAAACTTACCGACGGTTGTTCCAAATAAGAAGAAGAGGTTGCTATCATGAGAAGACTTGCTGGGTAGGGCTAGGCTCGGGTGGACAGGACTGGACTTGACGAGTTTGGATTGGACTGGGCTGGATCGATTGGATTGGCTGCACTGGGCATGGCTTGATGAAATCGGCTTTGTTGGCCAGACTGTACCAAAATGAATGGGCCTTGAAAGGGGTCACAGGTCTGGGATCCGACCCCACTGACCAGGACTTGGCTGGGACTGGACAGCACCGGTCTGAGCTGTGCTGCCCCGCTTTGGCTGGGCGAGACCGCAGCGGAGCGAACTTGACTTTTTATGGTAGGACCAGACGAGGCTAGAGTGGACTGGGATGGACGGGAATGGTATGGGCAGAGCGGGGCTGGATTGGGTTGGACAATTGCAGAATCGATTGGACGGGATTGGATTTGATCAGACTGTGCTGAGTTGGACTAGACTCGTCTGGAAAGTCCTTGTAGTTTCCAACAGTTTCCTATAGGTTGTGTTTTGAATGCTAGCTGTGATTATGGATTCCTGTGGCTTTCCGATTGATGCGTGGGTCTGTTGAGACTCCTGAAGGATCATGTAGATTCTTTCTGGTATGTATACATTACGATGTATGCCGATGGATTCCACTGGGATCCGATGGGTTTCAATAGATCCCGAAGGGTTCGTATGGACTCTTGCCGGCTCCTGAAAATTCCTATGGCGTTTTTGGGGTTCCGTTTGATCATAATGTGTTTCCGACAGTTTCGGCCGATGGTTGCGGCTCCTAGTGCTTATTGAAATCCGTGTGAACGCCTAGGGGTTCTGTTGTACTCGTATCGCTTCCGATGGACTCTGAATTATTCTTATTGTTGGAAATGGTTGCCACACAGTTCTTTGGAAGCCTACGGAATCCTCTGGGCTGATGGGCCTATACGGATTCACACCTTATAGCTTATCATTGGCTACTCCGAACTCCGATGGATTACAGGGAGTACTAGTACGTCTCCGCTGCTCCTAGCGACTACAGCCTCTTAATGTACGGGGGAAGCGATCAGAAGACCAACCCATTCGAACTAGAAGGAATTCTCAAAGACACGCCTGTGTGGAGAATGTGTATGTGTGTAGTTTCGGGGGTCGGGTATCTGGGGAATGGGTCGTCATCGCATTCAGGCATGCGCAAACGTCTTTAATAGGCCCACCTGGCTCCGAATCGAGAACCAGCTGTCGTAGGACACTGGGAACTTGCAACTCTAACGCGTTGGTGGACTTTGGTCCCTGGGGTATCGATGTCCCACGATATTGCGTTTGAAGCGATCGCTGAGCACCGCCAGCTGGATCGCTGCATGGGTCCTCACGAATGTGCTGCCCTTTTCCCGGAAAGCGCGCGGGCCCAAGGTTTTCTTTTAGTAAGAACCTTTGTCCCCCGTGCCATGGCTTGAAAAGGGCCGCGGAAATAATCTTCGCAAACAGCTGTGGTGCGGGCGATGTTTTGGCTGGAAACGGGGACCCCCAGCGGATCACCAAACGGTGTCCAGAACCCCCCGTATCCTCGATGAAGACGAGGGTCTGGAGGCTTCCGCGCAGAGTCCTCGGAAACCTTGCCCAGAGGCGTTGAGGTCTTATCGAGAAGTTGATCCCGCGCCTGCCCGCTGGAAGGCGGCACGCTCCCCTCACAGAGAGCGCCCCTGGCACGCCCCCTGGTACGTCTCCTGCCACGTCTCTTGACACGTCCCCTGCCGCGTCCAGTGGCGCGTCCCCCTAGCACGTCCCCACAAAAGCCCTTTGGGTACGTCCCTTGGCACGCCCCCTGGCACGGCACTTGCCCTGGCACGTCTCCTGACAATCTTATGACACGTCGCCTGGAACATCCATTTGCTCGTCCCCTGGCACGTCCTGTGGCGCGTCCCTGTCGGGACCCTTCTGGCACAGCTCTCTCTGCGTGGTGGAGACAAACCTGTTCGCTGTTCCAGCAGCAGGGAAGGCCTTCCGACGGGCGAGAAAGAGGGAGGAGATTGGGAGGCTGCGCGGCGCGAGGCGAGGCAGAGGAGGAGGAGGGAGGCCGGAGACGACGCGGCCAATGAGCATGCGGAGGCAGCGCGCGGGCTTGGCAGATCTGTATCGTGCTCCAGGCTCGTGGGCCGCGAATGCGCTGCGCAGCCATACCTCACTCGAGCGACATGCAGCTGGGCGATTCCCGAGACCCTGCACCGAGAAACGTTTACCTCTCTTGGGGGCGCATCTTGTACTTCCGCCGACCTTCCGCCGCCCTTCCGCCGCGGAAGAAATGGCAACTCCTTGTATCCTCGAAGACAAGGCCCTCTTTGGAACGCCCAACTGAACACCTTGCAAGGGCTCGCGTGGGTGTCAGGTCGGCTTTGGCTGTCGACCTGCACGAAGGGTTGCATTGCACCACCATCCTCAATGTTTCTTGAGGCTTGTCGGGGTTTTCAGATGATCGGGGGAGCCCAGTGATCGCGATCAGACACCAAGGCTGGAAGCTACGGCCGCCAGTTCGGCTGGGAGCTCTCCGGCGCGCCGGTTCATTGAAGACCGAGGGTTGTCAAGGGGGGTTCCTTCGCCACAGGGAAGGATGGAGAGGTCGGGTTGCAGAGGGCTTACATTGGGCGGAAAAAATACGGTAAGTTCGCGTCGTGTCAACCAGCGGCGACCATTCCGCTGGCGTTCGACGTTGAATGATGCCAGAGACCCAGAATCGGTCGACGTTTCGGAAACGGCCGATCATTCAAGGTCGACCGATCCCGGCGGTGTTAGGAACCAACGACGAAGTCAGCACGACACGAATTTGTAGCACACCAGGTGGGAAAAGATACATGACCAATCGATCAGCCCATCATCCCCACCCCCTGGGGCCGTACCCCGCGGAGTTGCGCCCTTGTCGGGTGCAATATCAGGGGGGGGAAATAGGCTCAGGGGGGGAATGCATCGACCGCCACTCTTCCATCCATCGCCGATGGTGGCCCGATGGCCCAAGCGGCCCAGGAAGGTGCGGAGTTGCTCTCGGGGGCCTCTCGCCGATCTATCGGCGATGTATCGCCGATTCAGGCTCGATGTGGCCCCCCCCCCTGAGCTGATCCCCACCTCCTCCTCCTCCTCCTCCTCCTCCTCCTCCTCCTCCTCCTCCTCCTCCCCCTCCTCCTCCTCCTCCTCCTGGCGTTGCCCCTCAACCCCGTGGTGGAGCTGCGCCCCTGGGAGTCCCGACCCCCGGCCGAGGTGAGGGCTGCTGGCAGGTGCTGCCGCCGGACGGGCCACCCACGGAGGTGGCCTCGGGGAGGAAGGGGGGGGGAAGGAGGCGGAGGAGGGGAGGAGGGGGGGAGGAGGGGAGGAGGCGGAGGAGGGGAGGGGTGGGGGGAGGGGGGGGGAGGAGGCGGGGGGGGAGGAGGGGGGAGAGGAGGGGGGGGGGGGAGGGGGGGGATGAGGGGGAGAGGGTGGAGAGGGGGGCGAGGGGGGGAGGAGAGGGGAGGGGAGGAGGCGGAGCAAGATCAGCGGGGAGAAGGAGAACAGGGACGGAGCGTGCGCGACGAGTCTTCACATCCCGGAATCTTTGTGCTCGGATGAAGCTCACGTGCATGGTCGCACGTCGCCTTATCCTCCACCGCTGCCCACTCCACACACACACACAAGAAGAAGAAGAAGAAGAAGAAGAAGAAGAAGAAGAAGGAGAAGGAGAAGGAGAAGGAGAAGGAGAAGGAGAAGGAGAAGGAGAAGGAGGAGAAGAAGAAGGAATCGCCAGAGCACGCGCGCGCGCTGCTCAGCTGCGTGCCGAGAGCTCCACGCGAGCTCGTCCGCCCTCAGACGATTGCGCGGGCAGCCCACGGAGGCACGCGCGCGAGCGGCGACTCGAGGCCGCACGGCTCGGGAGGACGGGCGGAGCAGCTGCTTCCGGGGGCCCCGGCCGGCCGCCCCTCGGCCGTCGGAGCCACACCACGGAGCGTGAGGCCACTTGGGGCGCCCCAGAGGGGGCTTCGCCTTCGAGAGATCGAGGCTCAGGAGAGGAAAAAGCACACAGACACAGTTAGAATCGTCGACTCCCAGGAAGAGATGGGAAGTTGGGGGGGAAGACAAAGACCCAGAAAAGATTTGGAAAGATTGGGAATTCCGTTGTCTGTGTCTATGTATGTGTGTGTGTGTGTGTCCCAGGGCCCCTTTAGAGGAGGGGATGCCATGGGAAACTGGCCACCCCAAGAGATGCAGGAGAATCGGACCCCGCCGTCTTGCCTGCCAGAACAGGCGTGCAACACCTGACGTGGCGGGACTCCCTCGGCGTGCGCGTCCCGCCGGTGCGGAGTCCACGGCACGCGAGCGGCAGGTGGTAAGCCCAGGAGGCCCGCTGGTGCACAAGTCTGTGGGCAGGGCTGAGGCACGGTGGCCGCGAGGGTTCCCTCACGCAGGGCGCCGCAAGGAGCTTCCAGTGTTATGCCGACGCGGCCTCGAGCCGGCATCCAGCAGTTGGCCTTCGCATGCGGCGCGAGCTCCCGGGTCGGGATGATGGGCCAATCTCAGCGAGCGAAGAACGGTATAAAATAAATTTTCCAGCCGCCCTGGGTCAGGTGTCCCCGACGGCGAAAAAGTTTATTTTGTACCGTTCTTCGCCCGTTAAGAAACGCTCTCGCTTCGCCCCCCCAGACCATTCCGGTCTGGTTCCGAGCGCGGTCGCACTGGTCCTCCTGCCGATAAAAGAGAGGGAGGCTGTCCACCGCGGCGGCCCCAGGGCGAGCCCGCCGGCCTGTCGGAGGAGGAGACCGTGGCAGAGCCCCGATCGCAGCGCGGCCGGGGGGGCGGAGGGCCGCCGCCGTGCGCCAAAAGAGTTGCCCACGGAGGGGGTGGCGCGAGGAGCGCGGCCTTGCTGCGATAGGGGAGCAAAAAGTAACAGAAACAAAAAAAATCGAAGCTCCGCGCGGATTTCTCGGATCGGCCCTGGACCCCCCTCCCTGGCGCGCGGAGCGCGCCAGGGGCGGCGCCGGAGGCGCCGCCAGGGGTCTTCGGCGCAGATCCGAGAGATCCGCGCGGACCTCCGAGTTTTTATGTTTATGTCACTTTTTGTTCCCCTATGAGAAGGCGGGGGGGCGTCTCGGAAGGAAGGGGGCTTCCTAGAAGGCCCCAGAAGCCTCTGACAGGGTGTCTCAGAAGGAAGGCTTCCCAGAAGGCGGCTTCCTAGAAGAAGGAAGGGTGTCTCAGAAGCTTCTAAGGAAGGGGGTTTCCTCGAAGGCGGAGGGTTGTCTCGGAAGGAAGGGGGCCTCCTAGAAGGCCCCAGAAGCCTCCGAGAGGGCCTCTCGAGACCCAGGCGGGCTTCCCCCATTGCCTTCGTGGGAGCTCCGCTGCCCGCCTCACAGGCCCACCCCCCTCGCATCACCCCCTTTGTCGGGCACCGCCAGAAAAAAAGGAAAAACAAAAAAAACAAACAAAAAACATATAAAAACATACTAAAATAACTCTTTTTTTGTTATATATATATATATATATATATACATATGTATGTATGTATGTATGTATGTGTGTATGTATGTATGTATGTGTGTATGTATGTATGTATGTATGTATGTATACAATATACATATATATATATGTATATATAACACAAAGATAATAACAAAAAAAAAAAAAAAAAAAAAAAAAAAAAAAAAAAAAAAAAAAAAAAAAAAAAAAAAAAAAAAAAACGCACGGGGGACTTGCGGGGATTCTGGCCCCGGGCGCGGCAGCACGCACGCAGAACGGGTAGGCATGGCGGCGTTTCACAGGCAGGCTGCACGCTTCTGCAGGGAGCGCGAGGCAAGTCCACGTCCACCGCCTCTCGGCGCTCGTGGGAAGACGCACGCCCGAGCAACCCACGACGCTGCGCTTCGAGACACAGTGCAGAGCGCCTTTCCCGCGGGAGGGGGAGGCCTGCTCGAACTCTTCTCGTTGGTCCCCCCTCGTCGCGCCGCCCTCTGCCTTGCGAGCGCGCGCGCGCGCGCGAGCGCCTCTTTTTGCCAGTGCCGCGCGCCATCGCACGAGCGCCCTTGCTCGAGGCGAGAGGGAGGTGGTGGTGAGGGAATAGGACGGGAGGAGGATATGGAGGAGGAGGAGGAGGAGGAGGAGGAGGAGGAGGACGACGACGACGACGACGACGACGACGCAGGAAACGGAGTAGCAGCAGTGGTTTTCGGGTCATAATTCGGGCCGCTGGCGGCCGTTCGGGACGATCTGGGCGCCCCTGGAAAGCTTTCTGCGAGGTGCACATACTGGGAAGCATGCCGAGTTTGGAAAGCCGCCAAGAAACATTGAAAAACATCTGGAAAAGAAAAAAGAAACAAGAAACAAAAAAAAAAAAAAAAAAAAAAAAAAACTTCATCCTGCCCCCAAACCGCCCCGCCTTTCGGACGCCCCCGATCGGATTTCCGCGCTGGCAGCCACGGTGGCTGTAGGCCTCTCGGATGGCATAGGAGCAGATTGGATCGGAGGATCGCACCGCATCGTCGGTGCATCAGCGATGCGGCTCGATGTCAGGCCCGAAGCTCTCCACGCCGACGTCGTGGATGCTTTGACGATGCGGCAAGATCCTCCGACACCATCTACTCCGACCCCATGATGGAGGCATCTAGTGACGGCAGCAGCTGGGCGCAGACAGCGCCCCAGACATCCGGCGTCTCTATTGTTTCGACACGCGGGTGCTTGACCTCTCGACCACTTCCCCGGGATCGATTTCTCACCCCGAGTCCTTTTCTGACGGCCCCGATGCCCGGTTATTGACGGGCCCGAGAGGCCAAAAAATATGAAAAAGTTAACGTCTCGTGTTTTCGGTACGCCGGTGGCGGCCGTTCGAAACGATCCGGGCACCTTCGGAGCGCCCGCGGCGAGGCGCAGCTGCCAGAACGCACCCCGCTCCTGGAAAACCTGTGGGAGCCGACGAACACGCCCGAAAATTTGGAAGACCTCGAGATGCGCCAGGGCATCGAACCTCCAACCTGGAACCGAACGCGTCTCGCGGGGGGGGGGGGGCCAGCAGGAGGGAGAAGGCAAGGATGAGGAGGAGGAAGGCAAGGAGGAGGAGGGAGGAGGAGGAGAGGAGGAGAGGAGGAGGAGGAGGAAGGAGGAGGGGAGAGGGGAGAGGAGGAGCCAGCGAGAAGCCAGCCCTCGAGCCTCGGCCCACCGAGGTGGTCCTCGAGATGCGCCAGGGCTTCGAGTGGCTCGCGGGTGCGCCCAGCGCCGCGGGGCAGGGCTCCCAGGAGCCCCCGCGGACCCTGCGGGTGGACCTGCTCGAGTGCCTCCGCGTCTCCACGGGGGACGCCCAGGACTCCGAGGACCGCCGAGCGAGCCCGCGGCGCTGCTCCACCACCCCCCCCCTTCGCCCACCCCTCCTCGTGGAGGAAGACATATCACGACGGGATGGCCTGGGCCGCTCGGGGCCTCCCGGGAGGCCCTCGTCGCCGCGGCTGGGCTCGCCCCCCCCCCCCCCTTCGCCCACCTCCCCTCGCGGAGGAAAACAGATCACGACGGGAGGGTTTGGGCCGCTCGGGGCCTCCCGGGAGGCCCTCGTCCGTCGCCATGCACGGCCAGGCGCGCCCGGAGGTCCAGCCAGAGCGCGCCCCCAGGGAGAGGGCCGGCGCCGTGAGATATAAGCACGACGGGCGGTGCTGGCTATTTTCAGCCTCTGGGGGCCCTCGCCGGGCCCCAGGACCGTCACAAAACATGTCTCGGGCTGGACGACAGGGGGGGAATGGGTAAGGGGGGTAACTAAATTTTTGCTGCATGCAGTTGGTTTCAGCCACGCCGAGGGGCCCATTCCTCGAGACATAGTCGCTTCCGGCGCTGGGAGGCGCCGGGAAAATCAGCTACGTGAGCTGATTCTCAACCCCCCCTTTGCTCTCCCCCCCTTTCGCCCGACCCGAATGTCGGGATGAAACACGGGCCCTGGGGAATGGATCGAGACTTCCGGGGGTCGACGTTCGGACAAAAGCAAGCTCGACGTTGGGGGTCAGGGAACGTCGCTCCACCCCACCAGACGGAGAGTCTACTTCGGGGGCAGCGCGTGGCAAGAAGCGTCACCCGTCAACCTCATGTGGGCTTCGCTTGTGGTGGGGAGGTAACCGTTGGCGGCCAGGTCGCACCAAGAGACTCCAAACGACGGCTGCGTCATTTTGTTGGAATTGTCGACGCTTCGCGTGTCCTCACCAGGTTCCGTAGCCCCCTGGCTCAAGCCATTTCCCGGGGGGGCCTCCTCCCCTGGGGTCGGGGCTCGAGGTGGCCGGCGCGGCCGGGCCGCGCGCCTCCGCCGCCGCCGCCGCCGCCTCGGCATGGCTGACCTTCCTGTGACGCCCGCGGCGCGGCGGCGGCGGCAGGCTCGAAGGGCTGGCCCGCCGGCCGCTGGGGCTCCCAAGCGCGCGCGTGCCGCCGGGGCTCCCAAGCGCCGCCGGCGCCGCCGGAGCCGCCTCCGCGGCGCCGCGCGCGCCGCCGGCGCCGCCGCTCCCGTGGCGCTGCTGGCGCCGGCGCCGCGGGCGCCGGCGGGAGCCGCCGCTGCCAGAAAGCGCCGCGGGCGCTGCCGGCGCCGCTGGCGCCGCCGCGGCGCCGCGGGCGCCGCGCGCGCCGCAGGCGCCGCCGCCGGCGCCGCCGCCGCTCCTGTGGCGCCGCTGGCGCCGCGCCGCGGGCGCCGCGGGCGCCTCCGGCGCCGCGGGGCGCTGCCGGCGCCGCGGGCGTTGCCGGCGCCGCGCCGCTGCCCGAGGCGCCGCGGGCGCTGCCGGCGCCGCTGACGCCGCCGGCGCCGCTGGCGCCGCGCGCGCCGCAGGCGCCTCCGCCGCCAGCGGGGCCGCGGGCGCCGCCGGCGCCGCCGTGGCTGCGGCCGAGGCCGCTGCCGCCGCGGGCGGCTGGCCGCTCGGCAAGAGGCCGCGGCCGCCGCGGCCTGCGCCGCGGCCTGGGGGGCCGGCTGCCGCGCTCGCCGCGGCCCGCGGCCGCCGCCGCGGCCGCGGCCGCAGTGGCCTCCGCGGCCGCCGCTGCCGCCGCCGGCTCCCCTCCAGCGGCGGCGGCGGCGGAGGGCGCGGCCCTCGGCGCGGCCCTCGGCGAACAGCCGCACCAGCAGGACAGCAGCAGCAGCAGCAGCAGCAGCAGCAGCAGCAGCAGCAGCAGCAGCAGCAGCAGCAGGGCAGCAGCAGCCACAGCAGCCGCAGCAGCAGGGCAGCAGCAGCAGCCGCAGCAGCAGGGCAGCAGGGCAGCAGCAGCAGCAGCAGCAGCAGCAGCAGCAGCAGCAGCAGCAGCAGCAGCAGCAACAGGACCCAGCAGCTGCAGCAGCAGCAGCAGCAGCAGCAGCAACAGCAGCAGCAGCAGCAGCAGGGCAGCAGCCGCAGCAGCCACTGCAGCAGCAGCTGCGGCAGCAGCAGCAGCAACGGAGCCCCGCAGCTGCAGCAGCAGCAGCAGCACCCCCCACAGCAGCAGCAAGAGCCACCCAGCGACCACAATAGCAGCAGCAGCAGCAGCAGCAGCAGCAGCAGCAACAGCACCCCGCAGGGCAGGGAAAAAGAGAGGGTGGTCACGGCGGAGTCGGCGGAGGCTGCGGAGGCCGCGGAGTATCGGGGGCCCGAAGCGACGGAAGCCTCGGAAGGTGCGGAAGCGGCGCAAGCCCCCATTTGTGTCTCTGGATCAGAGCACTGCAGCAGCAGCCGCAGCAGCAGCAGCAACAGTGCCCCGCAGCTGCAGCAGCAGCCCCCCCCGCCGCAGCAACAAGAGCCACCCAGCGACCCCAAGAAGAACCCACGGGAGGACGCTGAGGCCCCCGTGCTCCCTCAGCAGCACCAGCAGGGCAGAGAAAAGGACAGGGAGGTCACGGCGGAGTCGGCGGAGGCTGTGGAAGCCGCGGAGCATCGGGGGCCCGAAGCGGCGGAAGCCTCGGAAGGTGCGGAAGCGGCACAAGCTGTCTCTCGTGTCTCTGGATTAGAACCGGGTGGACAGGGGGTGGCCCCCGATAGTGCTGACGGTAGCCGCAACAGTCAGCCAAGCGAGATCCTGGGACAGCAGGGGCTCGCCTGCCACACCGTGCCACCCCCACCCCCCCTCAGAACAACCAGACCGTCAGCAGTCCTCTGGGGGCGCCACAGACCCAGCAGGGGGACCACGGACCAACCGTCCAGACGCAGGACAGCGAAGCCATCCACTGGCTCGTCGGGAGAAACCCCTACGCGCCTATTCGCCCCCCTTCCCCTGTCAGCGAACCCATTCTTATTGGCGGCGAACCCCGGGCGCCCTCTCCAGGCGCCCAGGGCACGACTGGCAAAGCACCTCGTGCCTCGGCAACGGAAGCTGCGTCTCCGCGCGCGCACGGGCCTGGCACAACCAGCGGCACCCCAGAGACCGGAGAGAGTCCTGCGCCGACCAAAGGGGGCGCACCTGGGAGCGACGGCGGGCACAGGCCCGAAGGCGAACGCCAGCGAAGGGGGCCCCTCCCCACGCACCACAGGACAGCGCCCGCCCTGGCCGCCGGATACGATCCGACCCCCGCCTGGCGGCCAACCATGCGGCCTGCTTCTCCCCGCGGAACCCCGCCAGGCGTGCAATCGGAGCTGTCGCGAGCAGATCGCGAGCCCTCCGGCCAGGACAACGAGGCCGGTACGTTGGAGATTTGCGGCCAGGATACACGGCGGCACCACATGCCCGACCCGCGCCAATGGCCAGAGCCCAAGGACCCCGACACGGGACAACAGCTCCACAAAACAGAAATCAACAACATCCAGTGGGACCTCCCCCGGGAGACACCCGGCGAGGCGATAAGACGGCTCCAAGTCACACTAGGGACCATGTTCATTGGCACCTGGCACGCCTTCGCCAAGCGGCAGTCTGTGCCCAGCAGCAAGGGCGCGCTCGACCCGCTTCGGCAGGACCCGCAAACCTGCCACCTCTTCTTGGAATCCTTCCGCAGCCACAAGTGCGACGCACGGGCCGTCAGTGACACGCTGGGCCACGACGTCGACTGGACTCGGCTGCGGCAGCTGCACCTGGGTCGAAGCGGCGGAGTGAGCAGCGATCACCACGCGGCGAAGGGCCACCCGAACAACCAGGCCCCCAAGAAGCGCAAAAAAACAGTGGTGGACCGTCTCCCCGCAGTAGCCTTCGATGACAGATGATGACGTCCCAGAGGAGAATCGAGAGGCGGTAGTGGGTGGGAACCCTAGATAGGGCCCTGTGGAGGCTAGCGCTGTCCACCCACCATGGGGACAGGCGCCTGTACCGCCCTAATCAGCTCACTGATGCGGATAGCGCTGTCCACCCACCACGGGGACAGGCGCCTATACCGACCAGCGCAGGGGCGGGTCTCCCCCCAAGAGACCGCCACTGTCGTGGGAAGTGGCACCCCTCTCCTCCTGCGTCGATTCCATGCGATTGTGGCTTTCGGCCGCGCCCCCCCTCCCCCTCCACCTCTCCCCCCCCTCGTCTTCTCGGCGCTCCCAGTCGTCATTGCAGCGCTGGGAGCAGCGATGGGGGCCCTTCCAATCTCTGAGGGGGCTCTTCTGGCCCGGGGCCTCCCGCGGGGGGTCAAGGCACCCTCGCATCCCAGTCTGGCTGCCAGGGGCCTTTCATCGCCTCCCCCCTTGCTCGCCGCGTCTTGACAGCCACCGGTCACTGGTCTGTGACTGCAGTGTGGACGGACTGCGCGTCCCGCGGGTTCCCCTGCGGCTTGCATCCTGGCGCCGCCTGGCGCAGACCCCCCGCAGACAGCAGGCCCCCCCCCCGCAGTCAGGGCAGATCAGGGGCTGGCACCAGCGGCGCCCACCACGGCTCGCTGCCCAGCGGAAGACGGCGGCAGCGCGGAGGGAGATGGGGCGAGACAACAGTCCCCCAGAGATGCCCACGACCCGCCCCTGCAGAGGCCGGCTGAGGCAGGGGAGACTGGCGGGCCAGACGCGCACGAAGGGGGCTCGGGGACGGACTCTGGGACGAGAGGGTCCTGACCAGACCTCCCACTTGACCCACCCTGGACCCCATCTCGATCCCCGCCCCGCCCACGCCTCCCTCTTCCCCCCGCCGTGGGGTCGCACAGGAGCCCGTGCCTCCCAGTAGCTGGTGCCATCCGAGTCCGAGTCCCAGGGGGGAATCGAGAGGCGATGGTGGACGGGGGCCCTAGAGAGGGCCATGAGGAGGCCATTCAGCCCACAGAAGCGGACTGCGCTGTCCACCCACCATGGGGACAGGCGCATGGACTTCCCCTCGCATTGGCGGGTCTCTCCCCTGGGAGACCGCCAGATGACGAGGGAATTGGCGACCTTACAAAGCGGCGACATAGCGGCTGTTGGCCGCCCCCCCCTCCTCCTG